TACTCAGAGGCTGAGGCAAGAGAATCGCTCGAAACTGGAAAATGCGTTGCAGTGAGCTGGGATTGTGCCTTTGCACTCCAGCCTGGCGATAGACTGAGACTCTGTCTCCAAAAAAAAAAAAAAAAAAAAAAAAAAAATATTACGATGAAATATTTCAGGCAAACCAAAGGACACAGGTAATAATGAAATGAACCTACCACCAACTATGAGAAAGACGACCTTACTGATGCAATTAAAGCTCCCTGTATTTTCTGTCTGACTCATTCCCCACCCTCCAACCCCTTCTTGCCATTCTCAGACCTCTTCCGTTTTTCCTTCTCAGCATGGCCTACTCTGACCACTCAATTTGACATTGCAATCCACAACTCAGCTTCCTCAGCACTACAGTAGCTTTTACTTCTGCTCTTGTTTGGAAAAACGCATTTTGTCACTTTTTTCAGGTTAAGAAAGTCCTCTTCTGTTTTTAGTTTTGATCATAGAAAGAGTCTGAATTTTGTTGAATGCTTTCCCTGCATCAGCTGCGATGCTGATGCCCCTTTTCTCCTCTAATCTGTTAGCGTGGTGTTTTACAGAACTAGACATGCTGGCATTCCTGGGATAACAGTTCAGGGTTTTCATCAGGTGATTAACGTGATCTGATTTGAATTCTAACAAGTTCACAAGGGCTGCTGTGTGGAGAATGCACTGTGGGGAGTGAGGGTGAAGGAAGGGAGATTAGCCAGGGCGCTAGGACAATCATCTGGGCCAGAGAGGATGGAAAAGTGGTAATGGAGATAAGTGAGAGGATTAGAAAGATATTTTGGAGATAAAACTGACAGAGCTCACAGACGGATCAGAGGAAAGGGGAAGGAAGAGCTGAGGATGACAATTAGGTTTTGGTGGAGCAGCGAGGTGGTCCCACTTTACTTGATGGAGAACACAGGGAGGGTCAAGGCTGGGAGGGCAGGAATCAAGGTCCTTTTCTAGCTTTGTTAGGATTCAGATGCCTGTTAGACTCCCAAGGGGAGGTGTGAGCAGGTGGTTGGGCATTTGAGTGTGCAGCTCAGTAGCAAGAGAGTTATCAATGTACGGGTGGTGTTTAAAGCCACAGCCGTGGATGTGATCCCTGATGAGGAGAGGACGGGGGGCAGGGGTGGGCAGAGGGAGGCAAGGCCAAGCACAGGTCTCTCCAGCACCAGTCAGGTGGCTAGGAAGGGCCGGCAAAGGAGACGGGAGAAAGGAGGCTGCCAGTGGGAAGAGAAGCGCAGAGGGGAAGGTGAAGGCAGGGCTGCCAGTCGTGCAAACACTGCTGAGGGGCGGAGGAGGGTGTTCCGTGGTTACCAGCAGACTTCATTAACTGAACAGGTCTGAATTTTGTTATTTTCTGTGCTCAGTTATGTGAGGAAAAAAACAAGGACCATTTGCACACGGTACTGAATAAAACCGAACACCCTCAGCCCTCTTTCAGGCATTTTAGGGGCAGGAAGGTGACTTCTCTGAATGTCTTCTTTACAAAAGAGCATCTCTGGGTTTGCCTCTGGTCATGAGCTCCCAGTGTTTCTGTAGCTGTGACACACCACGTTGTGTTTGATTTTGCTGTCTCCTAAGCTTGACTCACAGAGCTATAAATACAACTGTTTCCACATACACTGAACTCATTCTGCACGTAAAGCACCCTAAAGGGCTGTGGAGTTCATGGAGAGAGCACCGCCTCACCCCTGCCCTGAAGGTTCATTAACAAAAAATGAAACTGAATTTAAACTACCTTCATGTAGGCAGTTTTGCCACACGCCCTTTGAGATAACATTTACACATAACACTGGGACTCCTTGCCTTAAGATGTCAAAACAGTTGCTGGGGTTTAAGGTGTGCATGCAGCTTACCAGAGTCTGGAAAGATAGCCTTGCCTTATCCTGGTGGCATTCGAGTTTAAAGTTTCCACCTTGAGATTTATGTTTGGCCAAGAAAATGGTAAGGGCCTCCTCTAAGTCATCTTTATTTAATTGTTCCAATTTCAACAACAAACCCTCCATTTCTTTCTTTCTTTCTTTTCTTTCTTTTTTGAGACAGAGTTTTGCTCTTGCTGCCCAGGCTGGAGTGCAATGGCATGATCTCAGCTCACTGCAACTTCCACTTCCTGTTTCAAGTGATTCTCCTGCCTCAGTCTCCTGAGTAGCTTGGATTACAGGCATACACCACTATGCCTGGCTAATTTTGTATTTTTAGTAGAGACAGGTTTTCTCCATGTTTGTCAGGCTGATCTCGAACTCCTGACCTCAGGTGATCTACCTGCCTTGGCCTCCCAAAGTGCTGGGATTACAGATGTGAGCCACCGCGCCTGGCCCAAGCCCTCCCTTTCTTAAACAACCAAGATTTTTCTCAACAAAGGTAATTTTCTGCTTCTATAGTTCAATTCAATTTGTCTTTTAAAAAGTAATTAGTATCCCTTTAGTGTCCCTTTATGCCCAACTAATTGCGCCTTAGTTCAGGAGTTAAAGCTTCTCTCTATCCATTTAGGCAACTACAATAATATCTAGTTAAAGTCCAGGCCAGACAAAAATGCTCATTTTGGATAATACAGTCTCCTTCGCTTTCTAAGTATTTAAATTTCCTCCAGTCGGGGAGAGGTAGGGGATCCATTTATATTGTAAGGCATTCCTGAGAAGATGTATTTCCAATTAACTGAGCATGGGAGGAATTGGAAACTAGCACAACTAGAGGACTTAAATATGCATTAAGAAAAATTCCACCACTCATTCGAAACTAGTTGGTAGGTCCGTAAGTGTCAGCAACACCGTGTAGCTTGTATTTTTCCTTTGTAAACCAACACTACTTATTAACTTAAGCCTGGTAAGTCAATCTGGACTTAACCAACGCAGCGACCCGATTAGACGGATCTTTTTACAGGGTAGATAGCTTTAGAGAAGTGCCAGGTGTTATGGAAAAACAGCTGGGCCTCTACATTCTTTGTTTCCAGGAGAGAGAGCCATTGAAAGAGAATCATAGACTGTTAGAGCTCAGATCATCTTAGAATAGAGTCCCTCATGATTTTACAGTCCAACAAATTTAAGAATGGCAAAGGCAGGATTTGAAAGTTGATAATTTGATTCCCAGTCCTTTGGTCTTTTCACTAGAGAGGTGGTTCTTGACTGTGCAGCATACTGGAATCAACAGGAAAATAAAAGCAAGTGAAGACACAAGCAAAAGCTTTCCACAGAGCTGGAGATTTAACTGGTCTGGGGGGCTGTCTGGACATTGGGATTTTTTTTTTTTTTTGAGACAGAGTCTCGATCTGTTGCCCAGGCTTGGGTGCAGTGGTGGGATCATGGCTCAGCACAGTCTTGACCTCTCTGGCTTAAGCAATCCTCCTGCTTCAGCCTTCCTGAGACACTGAGACTGCAGGCACATGCCACGATGTCTGGCTAATTTTTGTATTTTTTTGGTAGAGATGGAATTTCGCCTGTTGCCCAGACTGGTCTTGAACCCTTGGTCAAGTGATCCACCTGCCTTGGTCCCCTAAAGTGCTGGGATTTCAGACAGGAGCCACTGCACCCGGCCGATGATAGTCAGACTTTAAAACATGCCTTCTCTCATCCCACCACCCCCCTGCACCCCACCTGCTCTGGGTATAGAGGAAGCAGAGAAGGCAACTGAGTTGCAAGACACAGACTACACATTTGCAAGGTATTTACTGTAATCCATTTGACCTCACCGACCACTGCATGCATTTCTGACTTAAAAGAGGCTCTTATTGAAATTCAACCCCCAGACTTTCTTTTTGATTTATAACATATAGCATTCTTTTCTTCTTTAGTGGAGAGGGCCTGGAACAGATTTCCATTTGGCTCCTGGACTGGTGTATTCATTTGGTAAACAGAAAATGGCCTTGCAGAAATACAGAGGTTGTGGGAGCCAAAAGAATCATCTCATCTCCTAGGAACCAATTAGGATCTTAAATGGCAAAAGACCCATTTAAAAAAAAATGACAAAGAGACACACTCTCAGAACTACCCCCAAAAGTTTCCACTAAATTGGCAAAGGAGGGGGGCTCTGGGACCCTTTAGCAGAAAGTTAGCAGCAGTTTGACACAGAGCAATGAGGGGAGGAGTTGGAGTGTGAAACCTGCGGCAGGCAGGCACACCGACAAACATGATGTATTGATTTTGGCAATGGTTCCCATTACTTTTTGTCGGAAGCCAGCCAAGCTGAAAACACATTGGCAGCCTAGTTTGAAAGCTGAACTGAGAGCTGGGGTCCAGTGGGCTCTCTGTGCAATTCTGCGGCCTTGCATCTGTTTGGGGGTCTCATGTCTAGCTGAAAAGATGCTAGAACCCTGAAACCTAAGCCCAGGTTGCTAACCTTTCTCAACAATCCCACGTAAATCATTCACCTAATGAACTTGAAAGTTTCCTCGTTCAATTGAGTGGTAAGAAATAAAAAGGAACTCCCTTAACCTGCCCAACTGGTTCTGAGACTTGAAACACATCCAGCACCTTTATATGACACATAACCCAGGATGCGAGCTCCAGCTCCACTCCGACTCTGTTCACAGCAACACCCCGCATCCTACCATACACACCACCTCCCCGTACAGATTTGCCCCTCTTGAACAAATTAGAGATTTAAGTGTCACGCATTTGTCTTCAGGATCCACAGGAAGGCAAATAATTTTAAGAGAAGCATTTTGTGGTAACAAAGACGAGGGAAGAATGCCTAAGTGAATGACAGTCGTAGAAACAGCCAATTAACTGGCAAATCCCTGTGGTCTGCAAGCTGAACCAGGAACGAGTGCGGGAGGAGGAAAAGCAGCTGCAGCCCAATTAAACTCAGTAGCTCAGATACCTCGGGAGGATTCTTCTGGTTTACCTAAACAGACCTGCGTTTTCAGAGATCTTTGGACACTGCCATACAGAAGCACAGACTCTGATGATTTCCTTCTTTATGATTGCTGGCAACTGAGCTAAAACATGCATATAAGCAAATTAAGAAGACGGGAGGGCCACAAGCCTCAGAAAACATACCTTTTTGGGCTTCTGGGTAGGAGAGGGAGATCGCTGGATCCTGCAATTAACTAAAGCGACTATATACACGTGCAGTCCAACAGCTGGAGGAAATAATTCAGAACTGGCATCCACTTAGCAAGTCTTTGAGAAGGCAACTGATCCTTCAGTTAATGAGTTTAGAGAATCCAGAATACCCTGTTTTGAAATGGGCTCTCACAGAAAGATGATCTTATGCAACCCTAGGAGTTGGGCATCCTGGTCAGGCCCATGAAATAGTCTTTGCCTGTTTTTATCATGTTGGCTTTTTCCCAACATGATAAAAACGTATTTCTTCCATATGGACAGAATTTTCCAACTTCAATTCCTGACCGAAATACAGACTTCATCTTCCTTCAATGAATCCCTATTAAGGGCTTGCCTCCTACCCAGAGCACTGCTTGGCTAGGGTAGATTCTCTCAGTCTGGCCCTGGACCATCTAAGTCCAACGCTGAATTAAGCATTGAATTAAGCCTCCTGGGCTGCTTGCTTAAAAGACCCACAGCCCTAGCATTAAAATCTCCTTGGTACCTAAAAGACTTGTACTGATCTTTTTTTTTTTTGAGACAGTCTGGCTCTGTCACTCAAACTGGAGGACAGTGGGACAGTGGTGTGGTCACAACTACCTGCAACCTTGACCTCCCTGAACTCAGGTGATTCTCCCCCCTCAGCCTCTAGAGTGGCTGGGACTACAGGCGCACACCACCATGCCCAGATAATTTTCTGTATTTTGCATAGAGATGGGGTTTCACTATGTTGCCCAGGCTGGTCTCAAATTCCTGGGCTCAAGTGATTTGCCCACCTCAGCCTCCCAAAGTGCTGGGATTTCAGGCATGAGCCACTGTGCCCAGCATTGTACCAATTTTTTAAAATTAAAAAAAATTTTAAGTTTTTTACTATTAATCATGAACATGTTTAAATATATATAACATTAGAGAGAATAGTATAAAGAACCTCATGCACCCATCATTCAGCTTCCATAACTATCAACATTCTGTTATTCTTTTTTCAATTCTATCCAGCTACACCACTTTTTTGGAGATATCGGATAGTACTGGACTATTTTAAAGTGAATTCCAGACTCTTATTCTCTTTTCCTTTTATCCATTAATTCTTCAGTGTATTTCTGTAGCAGATAAAGACTTTTTTTTTAACATAACCACAATGCCATCACTATACCCAACATTAACTATGATTCCTTAGTATTAATTATCAAATTCTCAGTCCATGTTCAGTTTTCCACAGTAGTCTCAAAATGTCTTTTTTTGCATTTGATTTATTCAAATCAGGATTCAAAATGATCCATACATTGTGTTTGGTTGTGATGTCTCTTTTAATTTGTAACAGCCCCCTCCATTATTTTTGTGTCATTTATGGGTTGAGGAAAGTCTGTCATTCCTCCTGCAGGTTTGTTACATAGGTATATACATACCATGATGGTTTGCTGCATCCATCACCCCGTCATCTACATTAGGTATTTCTCCTAATGCTATCCTTCCCCATCCCCCATCCCCTGCTAGGCCTCCCCTAGCCCCCCACCCCAGACAGGCCCTGCTGTGTGATGCTCCCCTCTCTGTGTCCATGTGTTCTCATTGTTCAATACCCACTTATGAGTGAGAACATGCAGTATTTGGTTTTCTGTTCTTGTGTCAGTTTGCTGAGAATGATGGTTCCCAGTTTTATCCATGTCCCTGCAAAGGATGTGAACTCATCCTTTATTATGGCTGCATAGTATTCCATGGTGTATATGTGCCACATTTTCTTTATCCAGTCTATCATTGATGGGCATTTGGGTTGGTTCCAGGTCTTTGCTATTGTGAACAGTGCCGCAATAAACATACATGTGCATGTGTCTTTATAATAGAATGATTTATAATCCTTTGGGTATATATGCAGTAGTGGGATTGCTGGGTCAAATGGTATTTCTAGTTCTAGATCCTTGAGGAATTGCCACACTGTCTTCCACAATGAAATAATTTACACTCTCACCAATAGTGTAAAAGCGTTCCTGTTTCTCCACATCCTCTCCAGCATCTGTCTTCTCCTGATTTTTTAATGATCTTCATTCTAACTAGTGTGAGATGGTATCTCGATGTGGTTTTGATTTGCATTTCTCTAATGACCAGTGATGTCATCAGTTGTGTGTATATTTGTCCTCAAAATATATGTGTGTATATTTATTTTTAAATCACTTAAAATAATTCTTTTTATGTTTATAGAATCAAATTGATATATAGCTAGGTTTATTTGTTTTAGATTTTCAAGTAAATTTTCAAGATTTTTATTTCATATGTTTTAGATGTACAGAAAAATGGTGAGGATAATACAAAGAGTTCCCATATCTCCCACCCAGTTTACCCTATGATTTATGTCTTATATGAATGTGGTGATTTTGCCACAGTTAATGAACCAGTATTGATTTGGTTCATAAATACTGAAGTCCACACTTGATTCTGATTTTTTTAGTTTTTAACCTAATGTCCTTTTTTGGTTCCAGGACATGTGGAAATCGTGCCTCCTTAGGCTTTCCTTGACTGACAGTTTCTCAGACTTCTTTTGTTCTTGATAACCTTGGCAGTTTGAGGAGTACTAGTCTGGTATCTTGTCAAATGTCCCTCAATTAGGATTTAGCTGATAGTTTTCTCATGATGAGACTGAAATTATATGGTTTTCGGACGAAGACAACAGAGCTAAAGTGCTATTTTCATAACATATCAAAGGGACATAGTATCAACATGACTTATCACTGTTGATGTTGACCTTGATACTCTGGCTGAGGTAGTGTTTGTCAGGTTTCCCCACCATACAGTTACTCTTTTTCCCCCTTCCCATATTTTTTATTTTTGTCGGGAGGAAGAAAGTCACTATGCACAGCCCACACGTAAGGATTAGGGAATTATGCCCCCATCTCCTTGAAGGTAGATATTTACATACATTATTTGGAAATCTTTTGCACGGGAGATGTGTCTCTTCTTATTATTTATTTAAAAATTTATTTATATTAGTATGGACTCACATATTTAATACTTTGAGTTATAACCCAATACTTTTATTTATTTTATTGCTCAAATTGGTCCAGCATTAGCCAAGGAGAGTTCTTCAATTGACTTTTGTGTTCTTAATTAATATTTTTTCTTCCTGAGCACTTTCTTACTTTCTGGTACTATAAGACACTCCAGGCTCATCTTGTACTTTTCCTGACCCAATCCTAAAATCAGCCATTTCTCCAGGGACCTCTGGTTCCCTTCATTGGATAATGATATTAGAAACTAAGATCTGGGTGCTAGGTGTGTTGGTTGCTGCTGGGGTGTCATTGCTTCAGCTCCTCTCAGCTGGCAGGCCAAGGAAACGTATGCATGTGGACTAACCTGTGCATATATGTGTATCTCTAAGAATTTCTGTGTGTAAGCATCTGTGTCTATATTCAGCTAAACATGAGTTCGTACTCATGTCTCCAACTCTAATCCATTTCTGTGTGGCTCATTCTGGCTTCTTCCCCTTGCTTATCTGTAACCTCCCACCCAAACAGTGGAAACATGGCTCCCAACCATTTACTTACTTGTTTAATTCCCATATACATACATAGCTGTTGCCATTTGTTTTCATGTTTCCTTTTGCTTAATTTGAATTATGTAAAATACTTGATTCCAAAGTTAAAACAAACAAAGATGCTTTCAGGGAGGCCCAACTTTGATCCACTTCTCTCCCCACTGATTTCCCTCTATCATAGACAGCCATTTTTATTGATTTTCAGTTTATTTTTCCATTGTTTCCTTTGGAAAACACAAGCAAATGTCTACATAGTCATATTCCCTCCTTTCTGGCATACATTGTAGCATAAATTGTAGCTTATCACACATTTTTCTTCACCTCACTTACCAATAAATCCTGGAGATCATCCAGAATAGCCCATCCTGATCCTTCCTCATCCCTGCCCAGCCCTCTTTATATGGACGTACCGCAGTTAACCAGGCCTCTACTGACTGACATGGACGTATTTCCAGTCTTTCACTTTGATAAATAATAAAAATAGCAAAGAATAGCTTTGAACACACAGCATTTCAGGTTTTTGCCTGGGTATCTTCAGGATAGATTCCCCAAACTGAGATTACCGGGTCAAAAAGAGTGTACATATAATATTTCTAGATGCACCAAATTCCCTTCCTTAAGGGATATATCATTTTGCATTCTCACCAGCAATGTATGAGAGGTCTGTTTTCCCTATAGTTTTGTCATCAGATTTTTTTTTTTTCAGATTTTTGCCTATCTGAGAGGTGATAAATAGCCAGTCAGTGAGATGGTGCATGTCTCTTATTCTAATGAGATCTAGCTTTTTTTTTTTAGAACATCGAAGCATCATTTACAGTTCTTAATTTTGCAAACTGTCTGTTTCTACCTATGTGCACTAAAGTTTGACAGCCACTGCCCTGGTGAATATAAGAAGAGCATGGAACATAGACCATTATTATGGAAGGAATGTACATGGGCTTGCCCAAATGACAGGCCCAAACCAACAATAGAGAAACAAATAGCATGACTTTAACTTTTAAAGTCCTCGACACAGATGAAATGTTTTGAGAGTCCGGAGAACAGAGATAACTGGGTAGAAACGAGGGAAGGCTTCATGGAGGAGGAGGCGTTTGAGCAGATTTGAAAGATATCTGGAATGGCATAAGCAGAAGAAAGGGAGGCAGGAAGACATCCCAAAAGTAGGCTGAAAGCAAAGGACATATTAATATAAGGAGAGGAAGCAGTACCCTTTGCTCTGGAGTCAGACTTCCTGGGTTCCAATCACAGCCTCTCCATATTATTTGCTGGTTTCAGGCTCTGCATCTGTCAAATGAGGGTAATAACAGCACCAATCTCTAAAGGTGATTGGGAGGATTAAATAAAAAAAATGCTTCGCACAAAAACAGAGGACGCCTGACTGAAGTCAAATGTCCTCTTTGGAATTGTGGGAGGTTCTGTTGAAAAATATAGATGAGCTCAGATAAGAGAGGACATCAAAATCTCTGCTCAGGAATCTGGATTTCATCCAGAAAAGTGAAGAGAGAGGCACTGAAGAGAGCTATTAGAGTAAGAGACTGATGAAGCGAAGGTGTTTTCATCTATGTGTAACCAGAATGCTGAACAAGGAGGACTCTTGAAATGTAATCAGAAAGAGACTTTATTTTGGGCTTCCACTGTGTC